GTCAAAGCATGACTGTTTCAGCAACCTAGTGCTTCACCACCAAATAACCCCACTTAATAATAGTTACTATAGTGTCTGTCTTTTTCCTTGAAATATTTGAATGAAACTTCATATACTATAACTTCAAATATTTCCATATCAAGAAGCCCAGAATAAAGCCTTTCCAATTAATAAGTGAAAACTTTATAAGGCTTCAAGGCCACATAATGGGGAATCATGATTACCACATATTTTTATATATTTGAAATGTTACTTACATTAGGGAAACTTCGGTATTCACACATGCGAGATTGATTTATTTCACTTATGAGTATGGTCTCAAGCTGTGCCCATTTATTGATAAATATCTCAAAATGTGATCCTTCTTTATAGCTGAATAATACTCCATTGTATAGAAATACCACAACTTTTTTATCTATTCCTCAGTTGATGGACACTTGGGTTGTTTCCAAGATCTGGCGATTACAAATTGTGCTGCTATAAACATAGGTGCACATATATCACTGTGGTATGATGCTTTCAGTTCTTCTGGGAATATGCCTAGAAGTGGTATAGCTGGAATAAATGGGACTTCCAATCCCAGCTTTTTGAGAAATCTCCAGACTGACCTCCACAAAGGCGGCACCAGTCTACACTCCCACCAACAGTGCAGGAGAGTTCCTTTTTCCCCACAGCCTCTCCAGCATTTGTTGTTGTTGGTTTTCTTGATCCTGGCCATTCTTTCAGGAGTGAGATGGTATCTCAGTGTGGTTTTAATTTGCATTTCTCTAATGACCAATGATGATGAACATTTTTTCATGTATTTATTTGCCATTTGCATTTCTTCATCTGAGAAGTGCGTATTCATCTCAGATGCCCATTTTTGGATTGGATCTTTGAATTTTGGGGGTCTGAGTTTTTTTTTAATTCTTTATATGTTTTAGACAAGAGTCCCTTGTCTGAGAGAGAGTTCACTAAAATCTTTTCCCAGTTTGTGGGTTTTCTTTTCACTACGCTGGAGATTTCTTTTGACATGCAGAAACTTTTTAATAAGAAGTGGTCCCAGTTATTGATTCTGGGAAGTATTTCCCGTGCAGTTTGAGTCCTGTTCATGAATTCTCTACCTACTCCTAGAACAGAGAGGTTATATTTCAGAAAATATCCAGACAAGAGCAGTGGTCGTTGTGTAGCTCTGTATATACTAGAGGACCCACAACTCTGAAGCTTCATTGTTAAAATTTAATTCTAAAATGTTTCCAAAATTTTATATGTCTAGAGTTGGGGCTTCTAAGAGATGTACGTATAAATAGAAATTACTTTATAAATAAGTTATAGTTAAATATGCTGTTAGTAAGTGGGACCTGGTTAGAAGATATAGGTCACTGGAAGTGTGACTTGGAAGAATGTGTTCTTGTAGCTCTCTCTCTCTCTCTCTCTCTCTCTCTCTCTCTCTCTCTCTCTCTTTCTCTCTGTTTCTCTCTCTTTCTTGGTGACTAGGGTGAGCAGCTGTCCTCCACTGCTTTTTACCACACTGTTTCTGCCTTCAAGCCAACCAATTATGCACCAAACTCTCTGAAAGCATAAGCCACAATTAATCCCTCCTCTTTTAAATTTAGGTATTGGGTATTTTGTCTCAGCAATGGAAAAGTGGCATATATATATATATATAATTTAAATTACAATTCTACCTTTAAATTTAGAAAGTTAAGATGTTAGTAGGCCTTTTTCTAGTTCTAAATACATATTAGATATTATCAAGGCATTATTAGAATACTATGAGTATTTAAAAGACTTGTCTTTTTAAAATATAAAGCAATTATAATTTTGCATTATATTTATTGGGAAGGAAAATTATTTCAGAGGAAGGAACATTAATTAATTTGTACTTATGATTAAGTAATTATCAGCATTGGAGAATCACCCTCAGTAAAATCCAATGACATTGTTGGAGGGTCATGCAGAGATGACCCTTAGAAATAGTTCACAGACTTGATACTTGAGCAGAAACTTCAGATAATGTCTAACACAAACCCACTGACTTTAAACAACAATTCATTACTACTAGTGAGTCTATGGGATAGGTAGGTAGTCCTATAAATCTTGGTTTGTTATTCTAGATAATAATTCTGTTTTGGATAATGGCATTTGAAGGCTTTGCACCTTCTGTATCTATTGCCATCCTCTTAATAGAGACTTTTGCAAAAAAAAAAAAAAAGATTTTTAAATTTTATAGAGAAATTTTGTGTTAAAATAATCCCAGGAGTAAAGATAATGGAATTAATTAAATAGAAACAAATCAGAGCTCAATGAAATTTCTGATCTCCTAAAAATGTAAAAATAATACAATGAGAATAACCCTGATCCATCTACATGGTTATTCATTCACAAAATCAGTGCTCATTATTTCCCACTGTGAAAAAAAGGTCAGTAGGGCCATTTGCTGCTTCCTAGAGAAATAAAGTTTTCCTCAATGTCTTGAATAATTATAAGGATTGAATATATTGAAGAAGATTGTAGAAATTGCAGGAGCTAGAGCACAGACATATTAAACTGTGCAAAGAAGTTTTGTAAGAAAATTAAGTATATTTAATTACTAAGATAAATATTACAAATCATCCATAGCCTAGACCTTTAAAAATTCAAATACTTTTATCCTGTAACCAATGGAGCACCAGTGAATGTATATAAAATGGAAAGAATGTCCTAAGTGGATTATTTCATGACACTAATGGAATAATGAACAAAAACAAAGTGGAAAAATTTGGCAATGCTGTGAGGAGTAAAGAAGTCAAAACATCTACACATTTTTTTGCTGAGATGTCTGGTGTGTGGTCATCTCCTCACTAAGCTGGATTAGGAGAATGCCCTCTATGCCATTCATTACAGAATAGCTGTTACAAACAATTTTGTATTGCATCTGTTTCTTTAAGTTCTTTTATTCATTCAAAACTCAGGCTTTCATTACTTTCTTTTTCTAAAATTCAATGTTATAATTTGTGGATAATATTTCAAATAAATTTCCTATTCTCCAGAAGCTTAGGAAAGATGAACATTCATGCACTTATATAGTAGATATATACTACAATTATGGAATAAAGTCTGACAAGGATTGAAAGAGAAAACTCAAAAATGAGGAAGTCAAGTAAGTTGGTAGTAGACAGAGAACTGAATGAGAATGGAGATCTGAAGCTAGAGAAATTAGTGCACCAAAGCAGGGAAGTATCCAAATGCCATGCATGTAAAGGAGTTGGGCTTTACCCTAGAAAGGAAAAAGAGCTGGAAGGGTAGGTGGGGATCCACAAGGAACATATTAAAGCCATATGCAAATAAAGACTGTGTTTCCTGATAGACCCACAAAAGAAACTTAATTTCCTTCTGTACTATTTTCACACTGAAAACCAGAGCACTTGGATGACAAAAACAGGTTAAAAAATTGTAATTTGGCTCTGGTAGGACTAACATAAATCTGAATTGCCTTGGCCATTCCAATCCATGTGTCTTTTGTTCTAGTTGAGAAGGATACCCAGATTGGGATTGAACAGCAATCACAGGTCAATCAAACTATAGAAGAGAGGAATTCAGAAAGGATTACAGTAGAAATTTCTGACACAAATAAGAAGAAAAACACAGATTTGGGTGTTAAGGACATAGGATCGAGAAGAAAAGAGGGCCAAATAAAGAGAACAAATCTTTGTGATTTGGGAGGGACCAAGGTGCACCCATATTGATTGTTCAGAGCAGGTTCTCACTATCCCAGAATATGTATTAATCTTTCTCTCAGGACATAAAACCTCACTGGCAAAAAGATTCATTCACAGTTTAGAGTGAAAAAGAGATGGACAGGAAGTATAGGTCAGAAGTCACAGCTCTTATCAAGAAGACCTGCATTTAGCAGGGAATGGAAAATGACAGGAAGCAAGGATGGTTTACAGTGTGAGAGGTTTACCTGACACAGATAATTTGCAGGATATCCCTGAAACTCATTTCCTGTTATTTCCCACCCAAGTTTCCTGCATTGTTATGTTAGTATTTTCTAACTTTGTCCTGCTCCCTACCCATGTATGTCACACAAGAATGGGGAGCAGAGGAGAATGTACTCAGGGTTGGGAGGTTGGAGAAAGAAAGGGGCACCCCGGGATTGCTGCGCTGGCAGGGCATGGTCCGATAATACTGTGAATAAGCTACTGGTACAGAGATACACAACTGAATCATTGGGTTCTGCAGGCTGGATCATCAGCATAGACAATTATGTGAAGCAATCTTTGGCATTTCCCCTTCATTCATAAGAGATCAGCTGCAGAAGTAAATTAGCATTTCCAGTCTCTGTAACACAGTTTGTACCAAAAAAGGTCACTGTGGCCCCAGACTGGCTCACATTTCAAAGTTTTTTATTTTCCTTTTTACCTCATGCTTAGATATCTGAGTGACCCAAGTTTTCGTGTGTTCTATAAATGAACAGGGAATAAGGGTGACAGAATAAGAAGATACAGGGAGTTATTTATAGGGGATGCCAACATAAAGATGCCAACTATTAGGAGGACTCATTTGCTATCAGTACACACAGAGCCACACAACAGAGGATCTGGGTGCCCGTGCGCACGTGAGTAGATGTGGAACACCCAGCCCAGGATGACACAGATCACAAAAGTGAACCATGGTACACTTTATTCTTACCAGACATGTCTGTCAGTGACATCACCCAGTGAGACACCTTCTCTCAACTTGTAAGCTCCTTGCAGAGGCTGCGTGTGTAGGAGATGAATCACACAGGGCTGCACTCTACCATAACTGATCCAAATACAGATTTACCTACCTGCAGTTGTGCTTGGCATTACCACTTGACAATGCTTTCTCTTCAGTGTGCCTCATTTAAGAGTCTGCCAAGTATTTCCATAGATACCTCCAATTCTAACTTTGAATCCATTGCCTTTTTGCTAGCCATCTTCCCTGCATGCCTCTTATTCTTCTCACTGAGGTCTCAATGCTCCCAGTCATTAATTCATACTCAAACCATTTGTGAGTTAGCTGGGAGCTGACATACAAGCTTGCAGGAAGAGCAAGGGCAGCAGCACGTTCTGAGAGCTACAGAGATTGGACTGAGATCCTGAGAGCTGGGTTATATTTGGACACTGCCATGGAAGGCCGCTCTGAGTGTCACTATTGTAGTGCTGCATTAAATTCCTGGAGCTCACAGTATAGATCTGCACACATTCTCTGTCTTCACCCTGAAACCAGGAAGCGTTGTGTTGTTCATAAAGATTGACAAATCAGATGCTCCAGAATTGACTTGCATCTTACTTTTAACCCCCAGCAAAGCTCAATTTTTTTTCTTTTTCTTTTTGTGTTGCTGAGGATCAAACCTGGTCCCCATGCAAGCTGGGTAAATGTTTTACCACAGAACTACACCCCCAGCTCACGTATTTTTTAATCATTTATTTCCAGCCTTTTCCTTATAAGAACCTGAAAACCACCCACATTTACCTGCCTCCTCTCAGGGTGGAGGTTATGGAGAGTTGAAAGAGGGCTTTGTTCTTTAGTTGGCCAGATAAGTCATTTTTTAACAAAGAAAGATGACTTTAAGTCCATACTTTCATAGTGGATATAGGGATACACTGCCCAGACCTCTGAACCTGAGCGTATCCATCAATTTTAAGCAACCCTCTTAGTTACTTTTCTCTCTTAGCTGCGACAAAATACCTGACACTCAAAGTCAAAGAGGGAAAGGTTTATTAGGCTCACAGTTTGTGGAGGTCTCCATCTATAATCTGCTGACTCCATGGCAGAATAACACATGGCAGAGGAACAATAGTTCATGTTTATAGAAGACACCAAAAGCAACCAGAGAGAATGAGACAAGCCTCTTTCTGTTCCTTATATCACAGCCAGTTTACTGGGTCACTGGATTGATCCAGCAATTACCCACACTTAATTCCAGCATTGCATTATGAATCAGTCACACAATCTAGATTCAGCCGCCAATGAAGAAACTCTATGTCTGCATGAGGCTTCAGGAAGACATCTAGACTCAAATCACAACAGCAACAAATACTTTGTGGTCTGGTTGATGTTGATGTTGCCTAAGACCCAGTTTCCCTTGAAGGCACTCTTCTTTTGCAGTGTCTCTTGGGCCCAGAATGGAAACTGGGATCATTACTGTTTTTGAAAAAATCATTTTTTTATTCTCATTTTTGAGCTCCCTTGTGGGGAAGGCAGAATGACAATACTCCAGAGATACAGCTGGGCCCTGGAGCCTGTGAATGTGTCAAGTTACATGGTAAAAGGAAATTAAAGTTCTCAGTGGAATTAAGGTGGCTAATTATCTGATTTTGATAGAGGGAAATATCCTGAAATACCAATGTAGCTCTGATGGAATTAAAAGGGCCTTACAATGTAGTAGAAAAAGGAAGAAGAGTAGGAGTGATAAAGCATGAGAAAAGATTCCACCACACAGCCTGTGGTTGGCCTTGAAGATGGAGTGAGTTTATGAGTCAAGGTGCTGGTGACCTGTAAAAGGATAGAAAAACAGATTCTCCAGTCGCCTATAAAATAAAAGTAGCCACTTCTGTCATTTTGATTTTAGCCCGTTTTGGAGTGTGATCTCCATAATTATAAGACAATAAATCTATATTGCTTTAAGAAGCAAGTTAGTGGCAGTTTGTTAGCAGCAATAGAAATCTAATACACTGCAGTATCCATAGAACTCACTGGAGAAAGAGGTTGAAGCTAACTATGTAATATGAATTAGAGGAAGTTGCACCATTACAAAGAATGAACTTGGAGCTGGGGAAAAATTCCTCTCCCTTCCAGGGGACACATAGGCACAATCTACACAAGGTAAGGTGTAGATTATGGCAACTTCTCGGTCTCAGCAAAAGTTATAGGGGGAAAAGATGCTCTTCAGATCTGTCTGATGAGTCAGCTTGATGGTGGTGTCATTGTGATTGTCATCTCTCTGAGGTCAGGGTCCGTGTCATTCAGATTAGCATGCCCATTTCTCCTGCTCTGTTCTCTTGGTTCAACAAAGCAGGCAGGACTGGTTTGGCCCTGGTTTTGGGTCAGACTCTCACAGGCTTTTCTGACACAAATTGCTTCTTATCTGTTTTAAACAAAGGATACACCAAAAAGAATTTCCCCAACCACCTGTGCCTCACATCTTAACTGAACTCAGAAGTGTCACCATGGCAAGCTGACCTGCCAATCAGATCCCAAGTCGAAGCTTGATTCAGAACAAAACCATAACTGAGGAAGGAGGGGTGTTGTCTAATCCCTTAATTCTGAGCCATCATTCAACATACCTACAAACCAACTCCTTGAATCTAAACCTGATCCCAAGATTTTCCTTAACCATCCTGCAAGGCTCTCTCTATGTCTCTGCAACCTAAACAAAAATGAATCCACAGTGCCTCCTACTGGCCAGTGCACCAAGACAACACAAGTGTGCTGTGTCTCCAGGACAGGGTAACATGTGTTTTGCTTTAATTTGTGAGAAGATATGGAATTCTAGAGCATAATAATATTAATACTATTTACTGACACTTTAACACCAACAAATCATAAAATTCCTGAACACACTGCAAAATGAGGACTGTGGATCAAGTGTGTCAGGAGACTGTTTTAAGTTGTCATATTTATAAAATCCACCGTGCATGTACGATGGCAGAGTAGTGATTACATTCACGTTGTGCTCCTGCTGTGCTTTTTGACCACATCTAAGTTTTCATTCTCTGTTCTATTTCCTATCTTGCCACATGGTCTAAGGGAGCATCAGGAGTTATTCAAAAAACATGAACAACCATATAAAAATACTCTTATAATAACAAGCTAAAAATAGATGTGTCGGTTTGATCATACATCTCCTTTAAGTTTGTAAAAGACCCTGTGATTGAAATAAAAATTTAACATTCCCACACCACTTATGTTAAAAATCAAAGAAATCACAGACTAAGAATATAACATCTTAAGATCCAAAGAAAATTAAATTTCAAATAAAATTTTTCAACTTTAATCTTAGTAACTGAGATGAAGGCATAAATTGTTCTACTATTATCTAAATAGTCACATAACGTTTTTCAAAAAGCATAAGAAATTTCAGTTGATTGATGCTCTACAGATACAGTGAGGAGAAGCATGGCTGGAGTCTTAGAAGAAGAAATCTGATGAGGTGAACACAGTTGTCTTTCCAGGTTGTCAGTTCAGCCCTTGTAGAGCTGACTCACAGGCCAGGTTGGAAGTGTCAAAGAGCAAACTGTACAAGGGCGAGCACTGATGTATTCTCATTGTAACAATGAGCCAGAGGTAAGCTTGCTGTCCAGGTGACCCAGGAGACACTGTGTCTCTCATTCTGATTTGGAAATCTTCAGGCTGTTTATATCTTAAATATCTGACAAAAACAAAATTCTCTCTGGAAGAAGATACGTCCTTTACCAAAACTTGTATCTCCAACTATAATGTGTGGTGCAACATGAAAGATAATCATATTATAGAAAAATGTAAACAATTAAGATTGAGATGCAGCACAAAAATAGCATACAGAGGTCTCAGAGGTGAAAAAGCAGGGACAAATTCTAAAACAACTATATTTACTGGGTTCAAGGAAAATAAAAAATGACTTTGGAAAATGTCATGAGGGAATTAGTAACTATAAAAAGTGACATAACAGATGGAAAAAGAACCAAATAAAAAATTCTGGCAAGAAGATGGTGAATAGCAGTTTTCATCTGTCACATCGAATGGGGCTTTGCAGATGAATAAATTGGATGGTGGGTAGTGAATAAAAGGGCATAAATCATGACTTAGACTGTGTAAGTAGGGAAAGAAAGCTAGGAGAGACAGAGGCAGAGAGAATGCCTTCAGGGACTCCTGGTAAGCTACTTTCCAACACCCCCAGAAAGATTTCCAGTTGACTTCTGTTATCACTTTTGGATCCAAGCAGAAAACAGAGCAAAGGGCAGACAGAAAGTGGGACATAAAGAGTGGGTTATCAGAGACTACTGCTATGGGACGTGGGCAGTGGATTGCGTTAGTGATTCTTACACATAATATTCTATCCCACTAAAGAACTATTTTGATATACGAGGGCAGATGGGTGGAAATGTACTCAACATTCTATAAACTGGCTGCACCAAGCTACCTGGCATTGGAATATGTCATTTACATCAAAAATTTGTAGCTCTCTGGAGAAAGTGGAGTTTGTTATAAACTAAAATTTGAGACTTGTGAGGATATCCATTTGCATACTTTCTTTAAAGTTGAAAAGGTGTTGGAAAGAAAAAAATTAACATAATTATCACAGCATTATTGTAAATGTATTTCCACAGCAACAGGGGACTAATGAAGCATTCTAAACACACAATACATGAGACTCATTTGGAGAAAACTTCCAACGTAGGAGCACAGAAGAAACCAGTCAATGAGGATGTCACCAGCATAACATTTAAATCATTCAAATGCCAGCAGCCACACAGGGACAGCCTGCTGCTTGCTACTCACATTTATCACCATCTGTATTAAGTGTGGAGCACATGTTTGGCAATTGCATATCTTTATAGGAGAACAGGCATCTCAAGATGCTGAGGACTGAGTCTATGATAATTCATTTTCAATGTTGGGTCCTTGAGCTGCCACAGAAAAGTGTTTCAAATCTCTTAGATGTTGCTGTTTTCATACAATTAAAGCCCTGTAATTTCATGGGAGAATTCATGTCCCCCTGGTTTCTCCAAGCCTGATTCCTTCTTTGGGTGAGAAAGAGTAGGGTAAGTCTTCTTCCAAAGACTGCTGCGAGTGTGTAGAACAGGAGAACTGCAGGGCTTTGTGCTCAGCAGAGATATGTCTGCATTGATATGGCTTAGCTGCTGGTGCAGAGATTCAGGGCTGAGTGTCCCAGATATGCATTACTTATTTTCAGAGCGGAGTCTACTCTTTTTGCCCTCACTGACGAAAGCAGATCCTTGAGCAACTGTGAATCATCTAGAATGTCTTCATTCTGAAAGGTAATCAGAAGCTCCAGGCTCTGTTCAGGCTCTGCTGGCACCGGTATAAGGTAAAGTGGCCAAAGATAGTATCACTCCAAAATTATGCCATCTGTCCTGTATATATAATCTTAAAATCTGAGACACTGAGTGACTCCAGATGCTAAGAGTTCTGTGGGGTAAAAAGACAAGACTTCCCATATGAAAACACAGAATAGTCTTTGAGGAGAGAGAATGTGAAAAGCATGGTATTATAG